AGAATTGGTTATTACTGTAAATATATGTCTGGATGGAATTGTGTAACATGTATCAATTTGAATAATAAATTCTTAGTCGAAATCTCTAGTCTAAAAAGTGATATATTTGGAGCAGTTTTTGATATTGTGATCGACATATTTTATATTTTGTAAGGCCCGCAAAATTTACAAACCGTTGACTAACGCATAATCTGGCTCTTGTACTAATATATTTTTGCCATCGCTGTTTTCAATCTAAAATCAGCACGCTAATTTCTCCAAACGACATACGTTAACAAGTTTTAATTCAAATGTGACAATACTTCACTTGTTTTGTTAAGAGTAGTCTTAGAAATGCATTTGTAGTTGATTATAGTAAACTAATTCCGATTTTGGGGTGTGACATATACGATACCTTTTTTTGAAAGTTTTTAGGTCCATCCGTAGGAAGTTTCTGTAAAATTTCTTGCTCGTTCGCATTTCATATTAGACGCTACAGCATCATTCGTTTGCAGTCCTGTGTACCATGTAGTACCGTGCAGCTAAGTCATTGAAATATGCGTATAAGTGACAACTGTGTTTAGCGGACCCAGAACAAGCGAAATATTAAACACATTTTATGATAACGATGATTCGTCAAATATATATATATATCAAAACATCCACACGGGACTTGTAGCAGTATAAAATAAAAAAGCTCCGATGCCTGGTATTTAAAATTTGAAAACAATGATTTTAACAACTTACCTTGTAAGCATCGAAATCCCTTGCTGGCTCTGGAAAAAAACATTCTTGTTCAAATGCAGTAGCAGTCGAAAGCAATATTGTTGCTAAAAATATCTCCGTAAAAAACATCGTATCTGAATTATTAAACTGAATCGTCGGTCGGTTAGGTTTTGAGAATTAGAACATTGCAAATTCCGGCTTTTTTCTGGGAGCGCACGTAGCTAAATATTTATAAACAATGTTCGCCCTCGCTTCGGAGGAACCCGAAGTGTAAATTATATTATGGTTGTTTTAGTGGATTATCACGCCATAAACTAAATAATATTGCAACAAAAATATAGAGAAATTGCACATTCCCTCGTCGCTATTTTGAACGAGGAATCTTCTTGCTCATATCCGCATCATTTTCTCTGAAACACTGAGAAAATCATTCATGTGCGCTAAACGCAGTGCCGCATATAACTAAACTGCAGCTCACAAAATTGCAGCACATAATGTTTACTTCTTGGTTTAGTTACATAACATAAGATGCAAACACTACGTAATAAGATGTGAAGGACATATAAAAATAAAAGGAAATCATTGATATTTAAACAAGAAAACATTTAAAATAAATATATGTAAATGATTCAATCAATATCAGTTATTTAACACAATTCTGTTATTTTTTGTCCTCGTTGGGGAACAACTGCGTGCAAATGTGGTGCATATCTCATTTTCCTGGAGAGCCGTGGGTTTCACATGACCTATATATGGATTAATGCTTTTCCAGGCATGTTGTCAACTTTTTCTAGAATAGTTGTAACTTATTGACAAACCACCATTGATAAAAGTAAAAATTCAAAATTAGATGCTTTCTACTGAATTATTTTCTTGCATAAGATTTATGGTCCTAGCTTTCTTTGACGTGCGCTGGATAGAATATTCTCTCAACAAGGAAGTGACGAAAATATGCAAATTCTGAATATTTATATCCTCATTCACTAATGCATGCATTATTGCAAAAACAAACAATTTGTCAGTAAAGAATATGTTTGAAAACGGTTTTAAAATGTTTTTGACCAATATTAATTACTGTTTGTATGGGATTGATCAAAATCGGAGCGTGACTCCGTTATATCTTCGTGCAAGGATGATTGTATGCAGTATCGATGGATTTCTTATTTCGCATAAATTATGTCAATGTGTGCATTTTTCTATCTGTGAAAAGTGAACCAGTCAATTATAAATATAAACGACACCTTGTATATATCTTAATTTGCTATTGAAGTGAATGAAGGTTTGTAGTGTTCTACGTCAGTGTCAAAATATAATCTTTCGATAGAAGTTGTTGTAATGTCGAGATCTTGGAAATACGTTTTAGAAATAATGAAGTATGGCTAGTTTCTTTATTACAATGCGTTCATGAAAAGGTAATTCATACTATAACAGCGGTTTGCCTAACTACAAAGTGACTGTGACTCAAAATCTTGTTCCTTAAAACTATCCATATATAAAGTGGTTCGATTTATTATCCACATTAAAAATGAAGGATTTGTAGTAAAATTCGTAAATATTTGATAATTGTGATGAAAGAATTTAAACGATCAACTTTCTTGCTATTCATTTTCACTGAATATACTATTTGTCCGTTGCCCAAATTTTAATGATGTTGAAACAAATTAATACATGAACCTCTGATATTTTTTTATAGTTTTCACTGAATGTGTAATTTGTCGCGAAAAACAACTAATATCACAGTCGATGTAGCACAACAATTTTAGTGTACATCCTACTTTGTAGCTTTAGTTAGTCGAACCATTGAAACCTTCACAATGGATCAAAATGACCATTGTCTTACATTGTTATGCTGCAGATAGTAAACGCTTGACTGATCTTCTGTTCCGACGCATTTTCATGTAGGCGAATGCATGGGAATTTATGGGTGAAGTGACAACCATACTTTGTAAAAATCTAATGTGTTGAAGCACGTACGTGGATATTTGGTTGTAATAGAACGTTTGTAACTTCAGCTCAATGATTTAACTTATGAGGATCTTGATAAAAATAGGTGATCGTAAAAATCGAATGATTCTCAGAGGATGGATTCCCCTATAATTTCCGTTTATGAAGGCTGGCGAAATACTTATCTTAAGCATGGTTAACCTAAATATTGCATTATCCGCCAAAAATGTCATAAATAGGGTCGATTAGACTCACGTTACAATACACATTTTCAGTGGCACAGCCAAGATTTTCAAGCGATCTGGAGATCAGAATTTGAAATTTCCATGTAATAAGTCCTGAAACATTCGCCGAATCACGCCACTCGTAAAAATATCGGATCTTTTCAGATTTTCAACATTACAGAAGACGGAAAACTTGAATACCGCGTGTAGAGTTATTTGAGATTGATTTAATGCAGTGCTTAAATCAGGGATATCCAATTCGAATATCGCGACCTTCGAATATCGAAGGCAGCCGTGTACGCACGGCAATAAATTACAGCACCTGAAAATTTTTATTTTTATTAGCGCTGACTCGAATTGCTTATAATACGTCGAGGACGTTTTTGATTGAAAATGTTTTACGAATAATATATAGAAATATTGATCGCCCCGAAATCCTCGCGAAACGGCTCCTGTAATTGTAGCGCTAAAAGAACCGACTTTTCACTGACTAATAATTTTTCAGTTGCGCCAGGTATTCACGACCAATACTAGACTATTTAAAATGTCTTGCTTTGTTGAATTAATTGCGGTGCGACGACTTACGTCAAAATAAGAGCATCACTATAAAATATCAAGGCAATACCAAACAATGGAATACTGTCTGATTATACAGTATTTATCGCTAGTTGTGATTCGTATTTTCGCGATGTTGCGAATTCTACAAATCCGATATGTTCTCACAGCACTGACTCCGCTCTGCCACTCCTATTGTTTTTTTATTTTTCAGCGCTAGAAGAATCTCTAAGTCTGGGATAAAATATCAAAAAACTACGATTTATTTAGTACATTTAAAATTGACTAAATATGCATTGCATTTTTTATCTTATATTTCATAATACCCAGAGTAAAAGTCGCATGTGGCCCCGACGATAGTTTCAGAATGCCTTAAAACAGGGCTGTGCAAACTGTGGCTCGATAAGAAAATTTGTATGGCTCGCGGAGAAGCGCCAACTTTTAATGGTGTTCCACGAAACGAGTTTTCAGATCATTTAATTTGGTGCGTGCGAGCAATCTCTCTCTTTTACCAGGTCTATACTAATAACTGAGTGCCGCTGTCATATTACTAAAACAAGGTAGCAAAATCCTGCTACGAAATGCACAATGTTATAAAAACGCGTGTCTCACTGAATTCAATTAAAATTAAAAGCATGTAAGCACACATACATGAAATTCAAAATTTTATATTTATTTTTTATCGCATCATCGTCTTCTCACTGAATCTCGCTAGCAACACGTTGTATAAACCCGCGGGAAACAAACGTGTCAGATAATTTTTTGCCGCGTCTACAGGGCTGCAATGTTTTAAGCAAACGTTAAAAAATTAAACAAATATCACCACACGCGTTTTGAAGGTTTCCGATCTTTCGTATGTAGAAAATATTATGTTAGCCGAAGCAATATCACTAGAAGAATTTTCGTAAGTTGATATTTTGTACCCAGAGCCTTTCATAGGTCGAGTTTCTAGGTGCGGCCCGCCGCTTTATCCAGTAACTTGTATCTGGCCTCCTGTCAATGAAGGTTGCACACCCCTGCCCTAAAAGATATATCGCAGGCATAGTGAAGGAGAATGAATAACGACGTGAAGGTGCTCGGAGTCCAACATTACGGATCACACTGAATTAGATCGACAAATATAACAAAATGCAATCGCACGCCATTCAGACATTTCCACAAATCCAAAAATTGATCAGAAACCACCCTCTGGTTGCATAACCCACTTTGGATTTAATATACGATGTCACCAACATGTTCGCACTGGTCAGATATAAATTTGCCCGAATACATCATACAATTTCTATTTCAACAGTGTATATGAATACAGCCGTATAAACATATTTACCATTGAATTTCCCGGTATAATGACCCATTTTACGAGATTTCAGGATTTAATTTCACGCGGCTCCGCCATAAGAAGAGCATTGTTTAAGCGCCCCAGAATATGATTTTACAGAAGGACATTCAAACGTGGCACGTCGTGGCGACAACAATGAGTTTTCTATCCATTGTCAAGTCATCAATGGTCGAACTCTTGACAATGGGATAAACATTGAACTACAGTGGCGAAAAGCAGTAAAAAGAATAATACTTGATGCGTGACAATTTATTCATCAAATTAAATTTTATAGCAAACCCATTGTAAAGTAAAGCTCAGAGTAAAATACTGCGTTGAAATTCGCATTCCCGGTATTATGGTATATAAATGTATGATATAACTTTATTGATATGTATGTTATAATATTCTTTGTTTAACATACTCTGCTATAACGATTTATTAATTATATTTAGGTGTTTGGTCATCTGTGGAAAATAATCAACTCAAATCAATTTTTCTTCCATGATCAGAATCTTTATATAATTCAGTGTGCCTTTTGCACTGTGATGCATAGAGTTGTGTTGATACTCCCAAGCGTTGCAGTTCATTGTAGGCAGCTGCAATATTTGTAAGACTTGGAGTCTTGGTTTGAAAATAAATCCAAACGATCCATTGTCCTAAAAACATGCTGCAATGAAAATCTGTTTCATATTGTCAACAGAACGAAAATTTCTTATAACTAAACGAATGAAGATAAATAAATAAAATATCGTAGTTTTTGTGTCACGTGTCAATGAAACTTTGGCACACCCATGCAAGCAGTATTGAATATAAGAGAATGCTCCTGTTTCAAGAAAGTCATGAAAATTTTTGTGTTTTTATTCAATCAAAATTATTACCCCCCCCCCCCCCTGTTGGCACTTTCATACAGGTCTCCGCTTCCGGTCAGATAAGCCAAAGAACTTGTGTAATAATGAGTTATATCGCATTTGCGATTTCTTACCTTCTGCCGAACATAGAATTCCCATACAGTAGTTCAGATAATCAGATATAAATGCAAAATCTCGTTCCAAAAGAACATTCTCGACTGTGCAGAATAAATAAAATGAACATTTTACACGTATTCACCGAGGTTAAAAAAAAGATTAGGTTCTTGGCGAATGTATGAAATATATACATAACAATCTGAGGATTATCTCGAGTGTTTCTTTAACGAAAACCACGACGAGAGAGACAAAAACTCATCTAACACCAAGCATTAATTAGTTGCTAGATTTATTGTCGCTTTCCTTTCGAACTTATGATGAAAATAACATATTGTCCAATAAATTTATGCAACGATATAGCAAATGCCTATGTTACTGTTTTTATGTTGAGTATTAGAGTTTACACAGTATCACAATGAAAAACATATATACATTAACATTATAAATAGATCAATCAACACAAACCAATGCTGTTGGCAGCGCTGTTAAACTGTCCGTTTTCGTCAATACTGTAGGCATTAGTCATCGAAAAATCTGGAGGATCATATAATACAAATAAATATAGATTGCGCATGTTTTAGTATTGGGGCTGATTTTATTGCGATGGGCGAAGAGGGGGTTTGAAGGGAATTGTTGGAAGTATACAGTTCACCAACTAACATGTTGATCGACAGTATTTCGCCGTGATATGTGTAAATTAATGGCATATATATATAATATATAATATAAATGTTTGAAGTATTAATTCTAATTATCAATTATAGCGTTTGTTCTTGGGATAAAATAAAAGCTAAAACAGATTGTAACTGGAAAGTTCAACATTTTAACTTTTGCTTACCATCTTTAACTTTGCTTTCCTGATACACCGCGGATCGTAGAAAAGTGAAATGGGCAACCCAATCGATGTGTTCGTTGCTTAAAAACAAAACATCATCGTAAAATAAAGAAATTGATTGAGATACTGGTGGTCACTAAATATTTTATGAGTCTTTCCTAATTTGCTCAATTCAGCGTTGTTGAAACTGCAGACATATTCACGTACTCCGCATTTACTTGGATTCGAATCATACTCGATGTATCGAGGATGTTAGACTAATTTTGGACGGGGTAAGAGGTTGATTGACATACCTGAAGTTGTGAACAATGATTGGATACAGTTGGTGCTGAAACTGGTAGAATTGATTATTACTGTAAATATATGTCTAAATGGATTGTGTAACATGTATGGATTTGAATAATAAATTCTTAGTCGAAATCTCTAGTCTAAAAAGTGATATATTTGGAGCAGTTTAGATTTGATATCGTGATCGACATATTTTATATTTTGTAAAGGCCCCACAAAATTTACGAACTGTTGACTAACGCATAATCTGGTTCTTCGAACTAATATATTTTTGCTACCGCTGTACATGCTGATTTCTCCAAATGACTTACGTTAACAGATTTTGATACAAATGTGACAATACTTCACTTGTTCTGTTAAGAGTAGTCTTAGAAATGCATTTGTAGGTAATTATAGTAAATTAATTTCAATTTCGCGGAGTGACATATACAATACCTTTTTTTTGAAAGTTCTAAAGTCAGTCTGAAAACCAGTGGAAGTTTCTGTAAAATTTCCTGCTCGTTCGCATTTTATATTAGCCGCTACAGCATCATTCGTTTGCAGTCCTGTGTACCATGTAGTACCGTGCAGCTAAGTATTGAAATATGCGTATTAGTAAAACCGTGTTTAGCGGACCCAGGACAAGCGAAATATTAAACACATTTTATGATAACGATGATTCGTCAGAAAGATATATATCAAAATAACTACACGGGACATGTAGCAGTATAAAATTGAAAAGCTCCGATGCCTGGTATTTAAAATATGAAAACAATGTTTTTACCAACCTACCTTGTAAGCATCGAAATCCCTTGCTGGCTCAGGAAAAAAGCATTTCTGTTCAAATGCAATAGCAGCCGAAAGCAATAATGTTGCTAAAATTATCTTCGTAAAAAACATTGTATCTGAATTATTAAACTGAAATGTCTAAACATAGTGCAAGTCGGTTAGTTTTTGAGAATTAGAACATTACAACTTCCGGCTCTTTTCTGGGAGCGCATGGAGCTAAATATTTATAAACATTGTTCGCCCTTGATTAGAAGGAAACTGAAGTACGAATTATTTATAGTTGTTTTAGTGGATTATCACGCCATAAACTAATACGATCGCAACAATTTAAAATAGAGATAAACTGCACATTCCTCCGCCGCTATTTTGAGTAGAAATCTTTTTACTCATCTCGCATGATTTTCCTCTGTCTGAAATACAGTGAAAATCATTCATGTTCGCTAAACGCGGTCCAGCATGTGACTGCAGCTCATGAAATTGCAGCACATAAAGTTTACCTCTTTGGAAGTACAGGAAGTTACGTAACAAAATGCATACAGTACGTAACATAAAGTGAGGATATAGAAGGGTAAAATTAATTCATTGATTCATGTACACAGCATTTAAAATAAGAAACGATAAAACATTTGTAATAAATACAATATTTAAATTATATATACCATCAATATTAATTACTTTTACTATTAATTACACAATTCTGTTGATTTTAGGGTAAGTTTTACATGACCTATATATGAATTATTTTTCCAGGGCATGTTGTCAACTTGTTTTAAAATAGTTGTAACTTATTAAACTACCATTAATAAAATCCAATATCTTTCTAAATTTAAAAAAGATGCTTTCTACTGAATTATTTTCTTGCATAAGATTTATGGTCCTAGCTTTCTTTGACGTGCGCTGGATAGAATATCCTCTCAACAAGGAAGTGACGAAAATATGTAAATTCTGAGTATTTATATCTTCATTCACTAATGCAGTGATTCCCAAAATGTGGGTCGCGACCCCGAGTGGGGTCGCGTGAAGATTTTCCGGGGTCGGCTAATTTCTGTCAAACATGCGAGAATAGGATTTGGGCGCATGTTCAATAAACGCCTCTGGTTGGCGTGGTACAAACATTTTTCATATGTCATTCCTGGCCCCCACCTGACTACGCTATTCAAAAATTACGTCACTATGACGTCACAATTACGACATAGAGCTTGCCAATGCAAATTTACGATCGCGCGAAATGGCATCTCCGCCGACGACGACGATCTCTCGCCACCGATCTATTTCATGTCGTAATTGTTACGACGACAAAACGAGAGATATAGCTTTCTTGATTTCGGGTGATTGTCTGCGCGTTTTAGAGACGAAATCCGTATACTTTGACGCGCCTTGTTTCGTCACTGTGACTTTGTAGTGACGTTATTTTTGGATTACGTAGCCGGGTGGGGTTTAAAAATGACATATGCGAAAATGGTTATGCCACGCCAACTAAAAGTATTTGACGGCGCTTAGTTAACTAGCCCCAGGATTTGAAACTTGGAAAATGAAATTTGTGCTGGTCGCCAGGTATCGTCCCGAAAAAGTGCCTAACTTCAAACAAAATGGGATTATTTTCAGCAATAAACCGGCCATTTATTGTCCAAGCGGTGCCAAAAATGTACTTAATCTTTTCAGATGGTCGGCAGGTATAGTTATTAGTAGACTGATTACGTGCGTCAATAATATTTTTTTGATCATGTTTCATCTGAATGAGTAATGGAACTTGGCCCTTTTCATTTATGAGTAAATACAGGCTAAACAAGGGCCCACCTGCTGGTACGCGAACCGGATTTTTTGCCAGGCTGCGAGCAGCCCTGTATATTATGTATCGGTCAAGCTTTGAGAAGTATTTTTTGGAAGCGCACAAGCGCCAAAAACCTAAAATATATATAACGGATATATCTGATAGATTGCAGTATCGTAATAGTAGGACAAATAATTTATGTCATTCAGTAGAATGAAGCTTCCCAAAGTTTTTGTTCCTGCGGCACTAAATTATAAAGGAAAAACTCAAGGCGCACTTACATTAAAAAAAATTCTTTGGAAGTAAACTCAATTTTATAATCGTTAATGTGTATTTTGTGCTATTTTCTAAACATGTAGGCAAGGCTGAAGGCAATGTCAGCAAAACAACATAACATTTACGCATATTTATGAAATGAGAGATGGGCGGCTGCTGCTTCGAACACACCTTTTCAAAGCGCGGTGTTATACTAATACGTACACGAACATTTCTCGCTCTATGTACAAATGTGGCCGGTATTTTGTTTTGTTTGACGCCACTGCCGAAAATCCAGCCTCGCAGAGATAAGAGGTCAAACGGGTGTTTGCCCAAAATCCAATTAATTGCTTGGCAACATACATACAGATAAAACTCTGCAACAAATGACGCATTTCGGGTGATGACATCCACCTTTCCCCATGCACATAAATCCAAACTCTAAATGATTTTCACCATGATTCCTTCCCGTTATTTTGAAGTAGAACTCTACTTGCTATCTCTCTGGCTGATTTTCTTTAAAAAACTGAAAAAATCAATCACGTTCGCCATAGGCGTAGCCAGGGCATTTTTTAAATCCAATTTTGCGGCATTTGCAGTGAGACATGAATTCTTACGACTTTTCCAACACCATCTTACTCTATTCTTGAACAATTTAGTCAAAATTGACTTTTCTGGCTTGCTATCAGTAATGCTATAACCAAATGAAGCAACCGAGATAGATGAAACTGTGCGCTTGTATAACTTCGACGGCCAAGTAAGCCTCAAGAGAGATTCTTTAAGATATTGTTAAATGCTATTATTTAGCCTTGTTCGGAGCAAAACGCACGAGTAATCGTCGTATCACGCCATTACAAAAAAAATAATTGTCTACCCCCAGGGTTATTGCTGTTCGCTAAACTTGGATCAGCAAGTAAAGAAACTGCGGCGTAAAAGGAATTCATTGATTGATGTACTTAGCATTTAAAATAGGAAATAATGAGACATTTTTTAATAAATACAATATGTGAATTATTCAATCAATATCAGTTATTTAACACAATTCTCTTATATTAGGGTCAACCTGTTTGGGAACCAGCTCTGGGAGAAATGCTGTGTATATTCTATTTCTCTGGAGAGCATAACATCAAATTGCAGCAATTCAACTGGGATAATACTCGGCACGCTGTCTATCTATTCTAAAATATTCAATATACATACAGATATTCTAAATAAAATATTCTAAATAAAACTCGAACTAGCATTGATAAAATTAGATTTATATCCTATCGTTAAAGATTAGCTGCCTTTGTACATAAACCAGAATTTCTTTCTTGCGTTAGGTTCATGGTTTTAGCTTTCTTTGGATTGATCACATCCGGAACTCAGAGCGTGACTTGATATCGTCTTGCAATGATGCTTGCATGCCGAATCTATACATTTTGCCATCTGTGAAAGTCGACTCATGATGATTTGGAAAATTGTGTATTACACAAATATTCTATTGAACCATAATGATTTGCAGTGGTCTACGAAAAATTGATTCTATCCTCGGAAAAATATAATCTTCGAATAAAATTTTCGCAATGTCGAGAACTTCGAAATTTGTTACAGTGATGTTGATATATCGCTAGTTTCTTCAATGCATTGAAAAACGATCATGAAAAGATAATTATACTAACATACTACAGCGAGGTCACTATACCCCATAATGACTGTGGCTCAAAATCTAGAATCTAGATCGTAAGAACTATCCATTATACAAAGTGGTTTGGCTATTATCCTCAATAGACATGAAGTCTATTTTGGTAAAAATCGAACGTAAATATTTGAAAAGTGTGATAGAAGAATCTGAACGATCAAATTTCTCGCTGTTCATTTCACTGAATATATTCGTCCGTTTGCCCAAACGAAGGCGACGTTGAAACAGAATTATATGAAATATATTTTCTCCGTGAAAGATGATAACCACAATATCATTGCTAATCATTCACTTTTGTAACGCTACACTATTACACTTGTGTAGAATTTCTGATACTTTTTTTTTATAGTTTTTCACTGAATGTGTAATTTTGTCGCGAAAAAACAACTAATATCACAGTCGATGTCGCACAACATTTTTAGTGTACACCCTAGTTTGTAGCTCTAATTAGTCGAACTCTCAACACTGTAATGAAATTGGACAACTAGTGGCGAAAAGCAGTAAATAGAAATATACTTGATGCGTGACAATTTATTCGTTAAGCTAAATTTTATAGCAAACCCATTGCAGAGCAAAGCAAAGAGTAAAATTTTGCGTTGAAATTCGCATTGCACGTATTGTGTATATAAATGTATGATATAACTTTATTGTTATGAATGTTATAATATTCTTTGTTTATCATACTCTGCTATAACGATTTATTAATTATATTCAGGTGTTTGGTCAGCTGTCGAAAATAATCAACTCAAATCAATTTTTCTTCCATGATCAGAATCTTTATATAATTCAATGTGCCTTATCGCACTGTGATGCATGAAGTTGTGTTGATACTCCCATGCGTTGCAGTTCATTGTAGGCGGCTGCAATATTTGTAAGATTTGGAGTCTTGGTTGGGAAGTAAACCCAAACGATCCATTGTCCTAAAAATATGCTGCAATGAAAATCTGTTTCATAATATCAACGAAACGAAAATTCCATATATTTAAAGAATGAAGATAAATAGAGAAAATATCGTATAGTTTTTGTGTCACGTGTCAATAAAACTTTGGCACACCCTTGCAAGCAGTATTGAATATAAGAGAATGCTTCTGTTTCAATAAAGTCATGAAAAAAGTTTGTGCTTTTCTATTCAAGCAAAATTAAAATATATCCCCATTCGTCCCCGTTGGCACTTCGCTTCCCCCTGTAGTCCTCCGCCGGTCACAGATGAGCCAAAGAACGTATATAATAATGAGTTATATCGCATTTGCAAAAACTCACCTTCTGCCGAACATAAAATTGCCATCCAGTAGTTCAGGTAATCAGATATATATGCAAAATCTCGCTCCAGAAGAACATTCTCGACTGTGCAAAATAAATAAAATGGACAGTTTACACGCATTCACTCCTATTAAAGAGATTAAGTTCTAGGCGAAGTATGATATATACTCGTATGAAATGTATGAAAAATATATCTTAAAATCCCAGGATTATCTCGAGTTTTACTTTAATGAAAAACCGCGATGGGAATGACAAAAACTCATTTAAAACCAAGCACTAATTAGTTGCTAGATTTATTGTATCTTTCTCTTGAACTTATGATGAGAATAACATATTGTCCAAGAAGTTTATGCAACGATATAGCAAATGTGTATATGTTAGTGTTTCTATGTTGAGTATTGGAGTTTACACAGTATGACAATGCAAAATATAAATAAAGTATAGCTAGATCAATCAACACAAACCAATGCTGTTGGCAGCGCTGTTAAACTGTCCGTTTTCGTCAAAACTGTAGGCATTATTCATCGAAAAATCTGGAAGATCATATAATATAAATAAATATAGATTGCGCATGTTTCAGTATTGGGGCTGATTTTATTGCGATGGGCGAAGAGGGGGTTTGAAGGGAACTGTTGGAGGTATTACAGTTCACCAACTAACATGTTGTTCGGCATCGTCTCGACGTGATATGCGTAAATTAATGGCATATATCTAGAAATATATGAATATAAATGTTTGAGGTATTGTTTCAAATTATCAACCATAGCGTCTGTTTTTCGGATAAAATAAAAACTAGAACAGATTGTAACTGGAAAGTTCAACAATTCAACATTTAAACTTTAGCTCACCATCTTCAACCTTGCTCTCCCGATACACCCCGGATCGTAGAAAAGTGAAATGTTCAACCCACTCGATGTGGTTGTGTCTTAAATTAAAAACGAAACATCATCGTAGACTAAAGAAATATATTCAGATAATGTTGGTAGTATAATATTTATTGCGTCTTTCCTGATTTGCTTAATTCAGCGTTGTTGAAATTGCAGACATATTTACGTAGCCTACTCCGTATCTACGCATATTCGAACTGTACCCTATGTATCAGGTATTTAATTAAAATATTTTTTTACGGGGTTGATTGACATACCTGAAGTTGTGAACAATGATTAAATACAATTGGTACTGAAACTGGTAGAATTGGTTATTACTGTAAATATATGTCTGGATGGAATTGTGTAACATGTATCAATTTGAATAATAAATTCTTAGTCGAAATCTCTAGTCTAAAAAGTGATATATTTGGAGCAGTTCAGATTTGATATTGTGATCGACATATTTTATATTTTGTAAAGGCCCACAAAATTTACAAACCGTTGACTAACGCATAATCTGGCTCTTTGTACTAATATATTTTTGCCATCGCTGTTTTCAATCTAAAATCAGCACGCTAATTTCTCCAAACGACATACGTTAACAAGTTTTAATTCAAATGTGACAATACTTCACTTGTTTTGTTAAGAGTAGTCTTAGAAATGCATTTGTAGTTGATTATAGTAAACTAATTCCGATTTTGGGGTGTGACATATACGATACCTTTTTTTGAAAGTTTTTAGGTCCATCCGAAAACCGTAGGAAGTTTCTGTAAAATTTCTTGCTCGTTCGCATTTCATATTAGACGCTACAGCATCATTCGTTTGCAGTCCTGTGTACCATGTAGTACCGTGCAGCTAAGTCATTGAAATATGCGTATAAGTGACAACTGTGTTTAGCGGACCCAGAACAAGCGAAATATTAAACACATTTTATGATAACGATGATTCGTCAGAAATATATTTATATCAAAATTCCACACGGGACTTGTAGCAGTATAAAATAAAAAAGCTCCGATGCCTGGTATTTAAAATTTGAAAACAATGATTTTAACAACTTACCTTGTAAGCATCGAAATCCCTTGCTGGCTCTGGAAAAAAACATTCTTGTTCAAATGCAGTAGCAGTCGAAAGCAATATTGTTGCTAAAAATATCTCCGTAAAAAACATCGTATCTGAATTATTAAACTGAATCGTCGGTCGGTTAGGTTTTGAGAATTAGAACATTGCAAATTCCGGCTTTTTTCTGGGAGCGCACGTAGCTAAATATTTATAAACAATGTTCGCCCTCGCTTCGGAGGAACCCGAAGTGTAAATTATATTATGGTTGTTTTAGTGGATTATCACGCCATAAACTAAATAATATTGCAACAATTTAAAATATAGAGAAATTGCACATTCCCTCGTCGCTATTTTGAACGAGGAATCTTCTTGCTCATATCCGCATCATTTTTCTCTGAAACACTGAGAAAATCATTCATGTGCGCTAAACGCAGTGCCGCATATAACTAAACTGCAGCTCACAAAATTGCAGCACATAATGTTTACTTCTTCGTTGGTACAGGAAGTTACATAACATAAGATGCAAACACTACGTAATAAGATGTGAAGGACATATAAAAATAAAAGGAAATCATTGATATTTAAAATGGGAAACAAGAAAACATTTAAAATAAATACAATATGTAAATGATTCAATCAATATCAGTTATTTAACACAATTCTGTTATTTTTAGGGTTGTCCTCGTTGGGGAACAACTGCGGTGCAAATGTGGTGCATATCTCATTTTCCTGGAGAGCCGTGGGTTTCACATGACCTATATATGGATTAATGCTTTTTCAGGGCATGTTGTCAACTTTTTCTAGAATAGTTGTAACTTATTGACAAACCACCATTGATAAAAGTAAAAATTCAAAATTAGATGCTTTCTACTGAATTATTTTCTTGCATAAGATTTATGGTCCTAGCTTTCTTTGACGTGCGCTGGATAGAATATTCTCTCAACAAGGAAGTGACGAAAATATGCAAATTCTGAATATTTATATCCTCATTCACTAATGCATGCATTATTGCAAAAACAAACAATTTGTCAGTAAAGAATATGTTTTGAAAACGGTTTTAAAATGTTTTTGACCAATATTAATTACTGTTTGTATGGTGGATTGATCAAAATCGGAACACGGAGCGTGACTCCGTTATATCTTCGTGCAAGGATGATTGTATGCAGTATCGTGGATTTCTTATTTATCGCATAAATTATGTCAATGTGTGCATTTTTCTATCTGTGAAAAGTGAACCAGTCCAATTATAAATATAACGACACCTAATGTATGTATTATCTAATTTGCTATTGAAGTGAATGAAGGTTTGTAGTGTTCTACGTCAGTGTCAAATATAATCTTTCGATAGAAGTTGTTGTAATGTCGAGATCTTGGAAATACGTTTTAGACATAATGAAGTATCGCTAGTTTCTTTATTACAATGCGTTCATGAAAAGGTAATTCATACTATAACAGCGGTTTGCCTAACTACAAAGTGACTGTGACTCAAAATCTGGTTCCTTAAAACTATCCATTATATAAAGTGGTTCGATTTATTATCCACATTAAAAATGAAGGATTTTGTAGTAAAATTCGTAAATATTTGATAATTGTGATGAAAGAATTTAAATGATCAACTTTCTCGCTATTCATTTCACTGAATATACTATTTGTCCGTTTGCCCAAATTTTAATGATGTTGAAACAGAATTAATACACTTGTGTTGAACCTCTGATATTTTTTTTTATAGTTTTCACTAAATGTGTAATTTTGTCGCGAAACAGCAACTAATATCACAGTCGATGTAGCACAACAATTTTAGTGTACATCCTACTTTGTAGCTTTAGTTAGTCGAACCATTGAAACCTTAACAATGGATCAAAATGACCATTGTCTTACCATTGTTATGCTGCAGATAGTAAACGCTTGACTGATCTTCTGTTCCGACGCATTTCTTGTAGGCGAATGCATGGGAATTTATGGGTGAAGTGACAACCATACTTTGTAAAAATCTAATGTGTTGAAGCACGATACGTGGGATATTTGGTAGTAATAGAACGTTTGTAACTTCAGCTCAATGATTTAACTTATGAGGATCTTGATAAAAATAGGTGATCGTAAAAATCGAATGATTCTCAGAGGATGGATTCCCCTATAATTTCCGTTTATGAAGGCTGGCGAAATACTTATCTTAAGCATGGTTAACCTAAATATTGCATATTATCCCGCCAAAAAATGTCATAAATAGGGTTCGATTAGACTCACGTTACAATGCACATTTTCAGTGGCACAGCCAAGATTTTCAAAGCGATCTGGAGATCAGAATTTGGAAATTTCCATGTAATGGGTCCTGAAACATTCGCCGAATCACGCCACTCGTAAAAATAGTCGGATCTTTTCAGATTTTCAACATACAGAAGACGGAAAACTTGAATACCGCGTGTAGAGTTATTTGAGATTGATTTAATGCAGTGCTTAAATCAGGGATATCCAATTCGAATATCGCGACCTTCGAATATCGAAGGCAGCCGTGTACGCACGGCAATAAATTACAGCACCTGAAAATTTTTATTTTTATTCGCTGACTCGAATTGCTTATAATACGTCGAGGACGTTTTTGATTGAAAATTTTACGAATAATATATAGAAATATTGATCGCCCCGAAATCCTCGCGAAACGGCTCCTGTAATTGTAGCGCTAAAAGAACCGACTTTTTACTGACTAATAATTTTTCAGTTGCGCCAGGTATTCACGACCAATACTAGACTATTTAAAATGTCTTGCTTTGTTGAATTAATTGCGGTGCGCCGACTTACGTCAAAATTAAGAGCATCAATATAAAATATCAAGGCAATACCAAAAAATGGAATACTGTCTGATTAGACAGTATTTATCGCTAGTTGTGATTCGTATTTTCGCGATGTTGCGAATTCTACAAATCCGATATGTTCTCACAACACTGACTCCGCTCTGCCACTCCTATTATTTTTTTTATTTCTCAACGCTAGAAGAATCTCTAAGTCTGGGATAAAATATCAAAAAAACTACGATTTATTTAGTACATTTAAAATTGACTAAATATGCATTGCATTTTTTATCTATATTTCATAATACCCAGAGTAAAAGTCGCATGTGGCCCCGACGATAGTTTCAGAATGCCTTAAAACAGGGCTGTGCAAACTGTGGCTCGATAAGAAAATTTGTATGGCTCGCGGAGAAGCGCCAACTTTTAATGGTGTTCCCACGAAACGAGTTTTCAGATCATTTAATTTGGTGCGTGCGAGCAATTTTAATCTCTCTCTCTTTTACCAGGTCTATACTAATAACTGAGTGCCGCTGTCATATTACTAAAACAAGGTAGCAAAATCCTGCTACGAAATGCACAATGTTATAAAAACGCGTCTCACTTGTCTACTGAATTAAAATTAAAAGCATGTAAG